ATGAATATAATAGGTGGTGTTAATTTTGTACTAATGAAGGTTTTTTTGTTGTTTGTCTTATGGATTGAACCCAGGGATGTTTTACCTCTGAGCTACATCTTCAGCCCTTTTTTATAAAATAATAATAATAATAAGTTGCTGAGGCTGGCCTCCAGTTTGTGATTCTCTACCTTAGCCTCCCTCACAACTGAGATTACAGGTGTGTGCTACTGCCTGACTCTAACTCAGGTTTTCTTTCTTTCTCTCTCTCTTATTCACCCTATGTCAGCTTTACCACTGAGGTCTCTCACAAGTTGCTAAAAGTTGCTGATGCTGTCCTCAAACTTGTGATCCTTCTGCCTCAGCCTCCTTAGTCACTCTGCCCTGCTCTAATGCAGGTTTTAATGACATGGTTCTAGAGTTTGGGATAAATCAGAGCTTTCCTATAAGATTTTGGGGTATATTGTGGTTCATATTATTTCTTTTGCTGGTGTTAAAAGGATAAGAATGACACTCTAATCTTGAGAGTGCCCCAGTACTGGTTGTAGGAATTTAGGGGGTATTAAGAAGCTGCTTATTCATGCTAATGCTGTTAGTACACTACCTAAAGTAATGGTTAAATTCCCAAACGTGGGAGGGCTAAGAAAAGTTTGTTAGGATCTAAACACTTGCCTGTGATCCCGCCTCAAGAGGCTGAGGCGGGAGAATGCCAAGTTCAAGGTGAAGTTTTGGCGATTTATTGAGACTGTTTATAAAAAAATAAAACAAGGGTTGGGGATGTAACTAAGTGGTAAAGTGCTCCTCTTAGTCTCCAGTACCAAAACGAAAAAACAAATGAATAAATTTGCTGAGGCTGCCTCAGCTTCTCACTGGGGTTATAGGTGTGTGCCACTGCAACTGTAACACAGATTAACTAATAGGCAAAATGTCTAAATTATCATTGTCCAAAAGAAGGTTCACAAATGGCTAATAAGCACATGAAAATGCTTAACACATTATTGCCATCAAGGAAGGGCAAATCAGAACAACAATTGGGGTGCAGCTCAGTAGTAGAGGTCTTAACCTAGCATGGTTGAGGCCCTGGTTCAAATCCCCTCCCCCCCAAAACACCAGTGAGATACCATTTCAAACACAATATGATCACTTTAAAAAGGGAGTGGGGTGCAAGTGTAGATGAGGATGTGGAGTTTAGAATCCTCCTACATTGCACAGCCCCTGTAGAAAACAATTTGGTGTATTCTTCCACAAAGAGTTAATTATACTCTTAGTTATGTATCTAGACAACTGAAGTCATATATCCACACAAAAAGTTTTACATGAGTGTTTATTGTAGCATTATCCATAATAGCAAAGTGGAAATATTATTATCTGGTGAATGGATAAATAAAATGTGGTATATTTACATAGGTAAGTAAAGTATTAATACAGTGTGGATGAACCTTGAAAATATGCAGTGTGAGAGAATCCAGTCACCAAGTACCACATGCACAGTTCTAGGTTATACAGATTTATAGAAACCAAATAGATTGATTTTTCTCCTCACCCCCAGTAGTTGGATTTGGGGGTAAATGATGACTTCTAATTGTTCTGGGGTTTTTCTTTTAGAAGTGAGGTAATGGTTGTAGAATTACATGAATATACTAAAAACCATTGAATTGTGTGCTCTAAATGTGTAAATGGTTATAGTATGTAAGTTTTATCTCAGTAAAGCTGTTAGTTAATGAAGGGATAATTACTGTTTCTATAGTTTTACCACATAGTACTCTTTGCATTGTTTTGTCACTAATGAAGGTAATTATATAGTTGAATGTAGAATAGTAGATTTATCACTGTTTTAAATACATTTTCCCTTGTATTATAAAATACTAAATGTTTATTGTTGGGTATAGATAGGGCTGTAGCTTAGTGCTTTATGGCTTGCTCAGTTTGTACAAGGCCCTGAGTTCTGTCCTTAACACCACCCCCTCAAAAAATGTTGAAATTTTGTAATGCACAGCAAAATGAAAAATAGATTTAGATTAATCATTTGGAATAGTATCCAGAAATCACTGGTAAAACTTTATATCATTAGATAGTTGTGTTTAGTTTTTTTCATACATAATGCATAATCTTGCAATAAAAAAATAAATAATGATACTTTCTGGTATATCTGGGTTACTTTATTTTATTAATACTTTGTACCAATTTGGAAAATTGAATTACTGGTTTTCTCAGGTATGTTTAATTTGTTGTTTTTTGAAAATAAGCCGGAATGGAACTGAACTGAACTCCATTGCCTCCAAACTTAGTCTTCGTGCTGGGCACACACCTGTAATCCCAACAATTTGGGTGGCTGAGGCAGGATTGCAAGTTCTAACTTCAGCAGCTTAGTGAGGCCCTGTCTCAAAAAATTAAAAGGGCTGGGGTTGTAGCTCGGTGGTGAAGCACTCCTGGATTGAATTACCAGTACCAAATATAAATTAACTAAGTAATTTGATTCAAATGGAATCATGCAATGTCTTTTTTCTCTTAAAAGTGTTTTTGATATTTACCTTAATTATCTTTCAGTTTTAATTAATCTGTAATATAGGTGTGTACCACAGTTTATTCATTTCACTTCTTGATGCACATTGAGTTATTTTCACATTTTTGCTGTTAGGAGAATCAGATTGCTATTGACATAATGCAAAAGTCTTTATGAAGATAATGTTTTCATTTCTTGTGGATAATACCTAGAACTGTGATTGCTTGGTCACATAATGGTTATTAAAAAAAAAAAAAGCCAAACTGCTAAACTGTATTCTAAAGAGCTTTATTGCATCTTAATACTTCTATTTTCTGGTATTCTGAAGGGATGATTTTTTTTGGGGGGGGGGGACCAGGGATTCAACCAGGATCACTTAACTACTGAGCCACATCCCCAGCCCTTTTTAAATTTTATTAGAGACATCTCACTGAGTTGCTAAGTTTCAAAGTCTGCTTTGAACTAAAAAATCCTCCTGTCTCAGTCTCCCCAGCAACTGGGAGTACAATTTATACACCACTGTGCCCGGCTGAAGGGATGGTTTTTGAGGCATTTTCCTGGGGTTGCACATTTGGAAGACTTCCTTATTTTTACCATACTGTTAAACAGTGAAGGTGCTGTCATTTTACCTATTTGTTAAGGTATCCTTATGCTTAAGGAATTAATATATGCTTGTTAAAAAAACAGATTTTTATGTCTCATCACCAAAAATTCTGAATCTGTAAACATGGAGAGCCACTTGATAGTGATGGCATTAAGTCTTTTCTAAAAGCATCATTTTTGTTGTTAATACATTTGTTTTGTATTATTGAGCTGTTTTTGGTTCTTTGTTTTCTCGTAGTATTTTTTAAGTATTGGGATATTCCAAAGATTATTTGGGCCCTTTTCTTTGCTTGCCACCTAGTGGTAACAGATAGTAACCATTAGCGATTTACCAGTGAATGAATTCTTAGGTAGATTATGCTTTTCTAAAAGGAGGGTTAGAAACATCAAAAGTTTGCCAGGGTACCATGACACATGACTGTAATCCCAGTGACTCAGGAGGCTGAGGAAGGAGGATTGCAAATTTGAGGCCAGCCTCAGCAATTTAGTGAGGCTCTAAGTGACTTAGTGAGACCCTGTCTTAAAAGAAAAGGAAGAAAAAAAGAATTGGATTATAGTTCAGTGGTAAAGTACTCCTGACTCAAATCCCCTACCCCCACCCCAATCACAGGTTTGTACTTGTGACTCATGTGCTCAGTATACTTTTGTTGTTTGAATGAATCCCCCCTTCCTCTTGAGATTTTGGTAGGTTTTTTTGAAATACAGTTCAATTTGTAGTTACTTGTAAGGCAACATGTTTTAGAACATGTAAACTTTTTTTTTTTTTAATGGGGTACTGGGAATTGAGCTCAGAGGCACTTTACCTACAAGCTACATCCCCGGATCTCTTTATTTATTTTATATATTTTTTTATTTAAAGGTGGACACAATACCTTTATATTTATATGGTGCTGAGGATCAAACCCAGTGCCTCACGCATGCTAGGCAACTGTTCTACCTCTGAGCCACAACCCTACGCCGTTTATTTTTGAGACAGAGTCTTGCTAATTTGCTTGGGACCTCGAACTTTGGTGATCCTTCTGCTTCATCCTTCAGTTGTTGGGATTTCAGATGTGTGCTACTGTGCTTGGCTAGAGCCTGTAAATTTTTAATCCTTTTCTCAAACTGCCAGCCTGATTACTTTGACTGGAGAATGGATAGGTGTATATTCTTATTTAATCTGAGATGCCTCCAAATCATAATATAAATCATAACTAGACATTGCATGAAGTTTTCCTGATTCCATATAAGTTATGCTCTATATTCTCTTGTTGGCTCTTCTAATTTTTTTTTTTTTTTGAGAGAGAGAGAGAATTTTTTAATATTATTTATTTTTTAGTTTTTGGTGGACCCAACATCTTTATTTTTATGTGGTGCTGAGGATCAAACCCAGTGCCCCACGCATGCCAGGCGAGCGCGCTACCGCTTGAGCCACATCCCCAGCCCTCTTCTAATTTTTTATTATTTCCACAGCACTAGGAATTGAACCCAGGTGTGCTCTGCCACTAAGCTGCATCCCCAGTATATTATTATTTTATCATCATCATCATCATCATTATTATTTATGGAGACAGGATCTTGCTAGGTTGCCAAGGCTTACTTTGAGCTTTACTGAGATTGACTTCAGTCAGTCTCAGTAGATAAGATTATAGGTAGCTTTTTCCTGGTCCTTCTGTCCCATTAGTTTTTATGATTATGAGGTTATTTTTGTTAAAATTTCTTTTTTGTTAACATCAAGGAGGTGCTGTTGATTGATCCTGGGATCAATCAACCAGGGTCCATGTGCTCTTCTGTTGATCTATACACATAGCCCCTATTTTTGTTAAATATTTTAGCTCTTGCTTTCTGTTAACTTGGGAAGGGAGTGGGCACTGTGAAAGGGATATTAACAAAGATTTTTAAGTTTGTATGGACTGATTTTGTTTCTCCCATTTAGAAATGGTGGAATCAATGAAGAAAGTAGCAGGGATGGATGTGGAGCTGACAGTTGAAGAAAGAAACCTCCTATCTGTTGCATATAAAAATGTGATTGGAGCTAGAAGAGCTTCTTGGAGAATAATCAGCAGCATTGAACAGAAAGAAGAAAACAAGGGAGGAGAAGACAAACTAAAAATGATTCGGGAATATCGGCAAATGGTGAGATGGTTGCATTTTTCAAGGAAAATGATTGTTATTTCTTACATGTAGAAGTTGACATTGGGTTAATTTGTAGAATTTTGTACGTTCTTCTATTGAGAGTCTTACTTGAATTAGTCAGCTGCTTTTACTGTAACAAAATATTTTAGGTAATTAAATTATATAAAGGTTATTTTGGCTCATAGTTTTAGAGGTTCCAGTCCATGATCAGGAGGACCCATGCCCTCTGGTAAGTGTGTGGGATTAAATGTGTCCTGACCTTTGCCTTTTGTGTTTATAGTTTAAAAAAATTCTCCAAGAGAAAGGAGGCTTGTTTTTTTTTTTTTTTTTTTTTTAAGTGACTTAAGTCTCAGGCTTATGGCTGTAAGTTATTTGGCCTTAGACATTTAATATTTTAGGTCATCCTATAGCACACATTGAATATTCATCTTTTTATTCACCTGAATTAGAAATTACAGCTACAGAGTATTTCAGGACTACAAGCATGTGCCCTGTGTCTGGCTGTGTATAGTTTTGATCAGAGCACAACTAGAAAACAAATTTAATTGTTGCTTTTATTATAATAAGTATTAAAACATCATTGACAACATTTAGGGGCAATTTTGTATGGCTCTTGTGTGCCACACAATTTGAAACATACTGTCACTCTCCATATGGAGTCTTATTCTAGTCATTTTTAAAAAATATTTACTTTTTAGTGGTAATTGGACACAATACCTTTGTTTTTATTTATTTATTTTTATAAGGTGCTGAGAATTGAACCCAGGACCTAGCGCCTGCTAGGCAAGTGCTCTACCACTGAGCCACAACCCCAGCCCCTAGTTATTGTTTTTTAAACAGTAGAAATTATCAGAGGGTTTTGGATTAAGAATTGTTTCATGAGGTTATTTTAGATCATGTTCGTTTATACATGCATATAAAGGTGGGGCTTGGGATGTATCGGTGGTAAAAATTTGCCTAGTACGCTCTAGGTTCCTAGGTTCAGTGTCACCAAAATAAATAAATAACCCTGAAAAGGTAGATATTATCCCAATGTATAGATGGCAAAAACAGGTTCTAAGTGTTAAATAACATACTGAGGTAACATAGAATGTAGTGAGTTAGGATTGGCATTACCCCCACCCTCAAATATGGTGAAACAAATAATATGGGTTGGCAGTAGACAAGTTTGAACCAGAGGGCTGAGGAAATGAGAAAAGATGATGAAGAAAAATGCTATGAGCTAGTTGTGGGATTTTGTCTAATGAGTGAAGGGAAGTATGAATTGAGCACAATAACTGATAACTTGGGAGAATATGAAATCAATAGAATGGAGGTTTGCCCACTCTCTAAATAGGAATAATGAGTTTAAAAAGCAAAAGAAGAAGTTATAGGCTAAGAGTTGGAATATTAGAATTTAGGATACAGCAACACAGTTGAGGTTAAGGTCATAGAGATCAATGAATTGTTTATGCTGGGCTTGGTGGTGCATGCCTTTAATTCCAGTTATTCCTAGAGGTTGAAGTAAGAGGAATGCAAGTTCTAGGCCAACCTCAGTCACTTAGATAGTATCTCAAAAAGGGCTGAGGCTGTAGCTCAGTGGTAGAGCATCCCTGGATTCAATCCACATTACCACAAGCAGGAAAAAAAAAAAAAGGCTGTGCTGAATGGAACATGGAAGATAATACCTTGGTGCAGTATCAGTTATTGGAGAAGTAGGCTATATATATTTCATGAATGTGGGAAAGGGCCTGGAGATTTGCTTTGGAGTAATAAAAGCAGTCATATCCAATAGGCGAGGATTTAAGAGAACTTAGAAATCTTCATATTCCTAGGGCATTCTCTACTTGAAAATTATCAGGCAGGTACTTTATTCAGAAGACAGCTAGTTTTACTTAGGTTAAGGACAAGACTAGGAGAAGAGAAAGAGGGAGAATTCTTTATTAATGCAAAGGAGATCAAACTAGAAAGGTTTAACAGTATTACTGAGAATTAATAGGAAATTGATGACAAGATGATCATGTATATTTGGGGGGTGCTGTGTATTTTTGGCATTATAAATTGATAAGAAATGAGTGGCAGTATTTACTTTGGCCTGCAGATTTTTGGTGCCATAACTGTTTGTGAATCACTTCCACTAAAGTGATTGGTTCTTGGAATATAGTTAGGAATGTGAGTATTGAAGATAAACTAACTAACTGTTGATTTTTTTTTTCTTTGTACCCTGTCTGGGTTCATATATTAGGGGAATTAAATCCAGGTTTTGATGGACGAGGCAAATTGCAGCCCACTTGAGTTTTTGTTGTTGGACTTTAGGATAAGTAAGGAATCTTCTCTTTTTCCTCTGTAAATGGAGGTCATAGTTGATAGTTCACATAAATGCCCAGCATTTAAAAGCAAGGGGTGTTACATTATTACTGGCAATTCTGTTGCTGAACTGAGAGGTGTGGTGTGTGTAAGTACACCCTTAAGGAATAGCATTCAGAGGGGAAAAGTTACAGTTAATAATCTGGAGACAGTCTTTCTGTAATTTTGGGTCAAGAAAGGAGGAGGTTTAAGAGAGGGGTGTGTGTTCTATTTTATACTAGACTTTCCTTTTTTTTTTTTTTTTTTGGTACTGGGGATTGAACTCAGGGACACTCAACCACTGAGCCACATCCCCAGCCCTATTTTTTTGTATTTTATGTAGAGACAGGGTCTCAACTGAGTTACTTAGCATCTTGCTTTTGCTGAGGCTGGCTTTGAACTTGTGATCCTCCTGCCTCAGTCTCCTGAGGCGCCGGGATTACAGGCATATGCCACCATGCCCGGCCTAGATTTTCCTTTCTTTTTTTTTTAAAGAGAGAGAGAGAGAATTTTAATATTTATGTTTTAATTATCGGCGGACACATCATCTTTGTTTGTACGTGGTGCTGAGGATTGAACCCGGGCCGCACGCATGCCAGGCGAGCGCGCTACCGCTTGAGCCACATCCCCAGCCCTAGATTTTCCTTTCTTAAAGCCAGAGGTAGGTGGTCAAATGTGTAATACTTTATAGAATTTCTAGACTTAATCTGATTTTTTTCCCCCCACCCTTACAGGTTGAGACTGAGCTAAAGTTAATCTGTTGTGACATTCTGGATGTACTGGACAAACACCTCATTCCAGCAGCTAACACTGGCGAGTCCAAGGTTTTCTATTATAAAATGTAGGTTCCATACTAGAAGGGAAAATGTAAGATTAAAAGTTGGCCTTAGAATCATGACATTTTTTCTACATAGGTTTTCAGCTTTTATTTTAATGAGTTATTTAATGTTAGAAGGTTATATGGGAGGAGTGATTCTTAAAACTTAAATAGCTTGATATTCATTTGCAGATTTCACTGCTATTAGAGAATTGATTTTAAGATGATCAGTCTATTATAAAAAATATATTGGCTTTTGCTTTATTTACCTTCTTTTGCTTTGGGTTTCTTCTCCCATCTACAGCTTACACTTCACTATCTAACCATCCATCCCCACACACCCCTGTAGTACTGGAATCAAATGTGTGTGGGGGGGTGTCTCACATGCAAGTCAAGTGCTGTAGCACTGAGCTGTATCCCCAGCCCTTTATTTTAAGACGGAGTCTTACTAAATTGCTTAGACTGGCTCCAAACCTGCTGTCCTTCTGCTTCAGCCTCCTGAGTAGCTGGGATTATATGTAGGGTCCACCACGCCCAGCCCACGGTGCAGTTTTAACCATTATATAGAAACATTTTTTTGAGGGCTGGGGATGTCAATAGTAGAACACATGCTCAAGGTCTTAGTGCAAACCCAGAACCACATTGGGGGAAAAAGAAGCATTTATTTCATGATCAAGGAGACAAATCTCTAGTTCCTCATTCCTGGGTTTTTAAATCTTTTTTTTTTTTTTTTTTTTTTTTTTTGCTATATATTTTATTTTATATATTATAAAAATTTTAAAGTTTTTCTATTTCAAATGCATTCCTAATTTTGGTTTTGTTTTGTTGTAGGAAAGGGGACTACCACAGGTATCTGGCTGAGTTTGCCACAGGAAATGACAGGAAGGAGGCTGCAGAGAACAGCCTAGTGGCTTATAAAGCTGCTAGTGATATTGCAATGACAGAACTTCCACCAACACACCCCATTCGTTTAGGTCTTGCTCTCAATTTTTCCGTATTCTACTATGAAATTCTTAATTCCCCTGACCGTGCCTGCAGGTAAGTCATGGAGGAGAACAGAAGCCCTCAATGTGAAGTGAAAAGGTTCTGGAGGAAGAGATAGTTACTTGTTTTGTTCATTGGAACCATCTTTGTAGTCTCAGTCACATGAATTCTTTTGGTTCTTGCTGAAACTGTTGGGGTAACAGACAGACACATAGCAGTTAATAATCATTGTGTTGATTGTTTCAGTTCTGTAGATCTGAATTTTAGATTCAAAAGATTTTAACATAATGTATGTGGGAAAGGAATGAGGAATTACCATAATAAAATTAATTTTTGTATGTCACCTTTTAGTCTTTATGGGCATGCTTTTAATTAGTTATTTTCTGGGATTGGGGGTGTAGGGCACTTGTCTAGCAGACATAAGGCCTGGAGTTTGATTCCCAGCACCTCTGGGAAGGAATTATTATTCTCTTAGTGAATATATTACTAGTATTTTTTGTCTTTTTTTTTTTTTTTTTAAGAGAGGGAGCGAGAGAGGATTTTAATATTTATTTTTTAGTATTTGGAGGACACAACATCTTTGTCTGTATGTGGTGCTGAGGATAGAACCCGGGCCTCATGCATGCCAGGCAAGCGCGCTACCGCTTGAGCCACATCCCCAGCCCCTATTTTTTGTCTTAATAAAAACAATTTTTAGTGTCATTAATGTAAGCTATTCTCTTGTTTTTTCTAGTTTTTGATATTGTAGATACAAATTTTAGTGTTTTTGATTAATATAGATAGATTTCAAAAAATTGTGGTTAAGTACACATCACATGAGTTTTTATAATTTATAACCATTTTTAAGTGTAGGATTCAGTGACATTAAGTATAGCCACAGTGTTGTGTAACTGACTTTCTGTTTCAAGACTTTTCATCAGCACTCTGCTCCAGTTTTTCCTCTAACCCAGTTCCAGGCTTGCCTTGAACTTGGTTATCCTCCTGTTTCAGCCTCCTGAGTAGCAGGGATTATAGGTGTATACTACACACCTATCTGTTTTATTTTCTGCTTCTGAATTTGCCTGTTCTAGGTACCTCCTATACATGGAATCATAATATTTGTTCTTTTCTGTATGGCTTATTTTATAAGCATATTTTCAAGATTTATTCACATTATAGCATGTATCTCTACTAAAGTCCTCTGTTTTCTTTGAAGCCAGGGCTTTGGGCATGCTGGGCAGGTGCTTTACCACTGAGCTACAAAGGACTTCAAGGGTTTGAAGGGTACCCCTGAAGTCCTTTTTGTGGCTGAATGTTCCATTTATAACACATTTAGTTTATCTTTTGATGACTAGTTGTGTTTTGTTTTTTGGTTTTTGTCTTTTTAAATAATGCTATCATCATCAGCATACCAAGTATCTGTTTGAATCCCTGTTTTTAATCCTCCCTAGAAGTAGAATTGATGGGCATGGTAATTTTGCTTCAACTTTTTGAGGAGTCCGACCTCTTCTACAGAAAGTGAATCATTTTACGTTCACATCAGCAAAATTTGAGAGTTCTATTTTTTCCATGTTTTTACTAACACCTGCTGTTTTTTTATTTTACTTTTATTGTCTTGGTACTATGAATTTTGGACTTAAAGTGCTCTATCTAACGTTGAACTATACCCTGGCTTTTTAAAATTTTTTTATTTGTTGAGACAGGGTCTCCCTAAGGTGTCCATGCTGGCTTCAACTTAAGAATCCCTCTGCTTTGGGCTGGGGTTGTAGTTGAGTGGTAGAACACTTGCCTTGCATATGTGAGGCACTGGGTTTGATCCTAAGCACCACATAAAAATAAATAAAGATATTGTGTCCATCTACAACTAAAAAAAAAAAAGAATCTCTCTGCTTTAGTTTATTATGTAGGTAGAATTATACTTTTGTACCATTGTGCTCAGCTTGATACTACTTTTTGATGTGTAAATGTTTTTAATCTGATGAAATCAAATTTATCAATTTTTGAAAAATTTCCCATGCTTTGTCATGTAAGAAAATAAAATCCAGGGCTGGTGATACAGCTCAGTTGGTAAAGTGCTTGCCTTGCATGCACAAGGCCCTGGGTTCAATCCCCAGCACTAAAAAAAAAAAAAAAAAAAAAAAAAAATCCACCAAGTATGGTGGCGCATGTCTGTAATCCCAGTGACTATTGAGGCTGAGCCAGGAGGAATGCAAAGTTCTAAGCCAATCCTCAGTACCTTAGCAAGACCCTTTCTCAAAATGAAAAGTTCTGGGGCTGTGGTTCAGTGGTTAAGTGCCCTGGTGTTTAATTCCCAGTACTCTCCGCACTCTTGCCCACCAAAAAAAAGCCATGTTCAGATCCAGTGCCATGAATGTTTTTATCCTGTTTTGGTTTTTTCTCTTCCAGCATTTCATAGTTTTACGATTGTAAGTTTCTAGGTCGTGTGTGTGTGTGTGTGTGTGTGTGTGTGTGTGTGTGTGTATACATACTTGTGCTACTGCTGGTGGTCCAACTCAGGGCCTTAATGTGTGCCAGGCAAGTATTCTTGTTAATCCCCAGCCCTTTGATCCTTTTGTTTGTTTGTTTAGTTAATTTAAAAATTTTTGTAATGATGCAAGAGTTCATTGTCATGCATGTGAATATCTAGTTTTCTTAATAACGTTTTGTTGAAGTTGCTTTTTGTTGTTGAAATATTTTGGCACCCTAATTTATGAAGTTAACTGACAGTTATGTATATGACAGTTTTCTCCTGGGCTCACTTCTGTTGTTTATAGCTTATTTTTGTTAGCCTCTTTGCATGCATTTTAAGAATAGTTTTTTTTTTAAAAGGTTTTATTTATTTATTTTTTGAGAGAATTTTTTTAATATTTATTTTTTTAGTTTTCGGCGGACACATCTTTATTTGTATGTGGTGCTGAGGATCGAATCCGGGCTGCACGCATGCCAGACAAGCGCGCTACCACTTGAGCCACATTCCCAGCCCAAGAATAGTTTTGTTATATTACAAATTGTAAAGTCTTTTTGATTATGTGTCATAGGAAATTTTATTATTGGTGGTGGTGCTGGAGAACACACACAACCTCATATATGGTAGTTATTCTACCATAGCCTCTCCCACTTTTTTGTTCTTGAACCCAGGGGCATTGTACCACTGATCTTAGTCCTCATTCTTAAGGACTCAGTCCTAATGAGACAGAGTCTCATTAAATTGTTTAAGGCCTCAATAAATTACTGAGGCTGGTCTAAAACTTGTGATCTTACTGCCCCAGTTTCTCCAGTCACTGGAATTATAGGCATGTGTCATCCTGCCTGGCTTCCTCACTTTTTTGTGTGATATTGGTGATTGAATCCAGTGGTACTCTACCACTGAGCTACACTCTTCAGTCCTTTTTATTTTTTGAGAACAGTTCCCCTAAGTTGCTGAGGCTGGCCTTGAACTTTGTGATCTGCTGCGTCACCCTCTGGAGTTAGTAGAATCACAGGCATACGCTTCCACCCTCAGCTTCCTATTTATTTATTTTATAAAAGTTTTGTCTTATAAAAGTTTTCATAATATTATAGCAGTAAAAATCCTTTTTTCCCCCTCTTTTCAATGGAAGTGATTTAAAGAATAAGGAATGGAGAGAGCAATTAAATTTAACTTTTAGAAGTGATTTGTGTATGTGTGTGTGTGTGTGTGTGTGTGTGTGTGTGTGTGTGTTTTACTAGGAAAACATTAAGCCTAAAGTTCCTTTTATGCTAGTGTACAGCTTTACTACCAAGTTCCTGGGTATTGTCTTGAGACTTTCTTTTGCTGTAAAACTTAAGTAATTGAACCATTAACTAGAACTTGCAAAAATGCTTTTATTATTTTGCATATATTTTGATGGTGGTTTCCCTTGGAATTTGTACATGTTGTTAGCCTATATAGAATTAGGTCTGTATATTGTAGCCAGTGGTAAGATGCTTGCAGAAAGCATAGTAAAAAGTAGTGCTCAAAATATATTTATTCCAAATTAATTCTTCTTTTTTAAAATAATGTTTTCAACATCCATTCATGTTATAGTATGTATCAGAACTCCACCTCTTCATTTAGGTGGTGCTGAGGATCAAACCCATCACCTCGAGCATGCTAGGCGAGAGCTCTACTGTTGGGCCACAACCCTAGCTCCCCAAATAATTCTTTTTAAAAAAATCATTGTTACCATTATTCAACTGGAAGGGTAAGATTGATATCTCATTATTTTTGCACTGTTAATTTTTGTAATACATTTATTTAATTTTAGGTTGGCAAAAGCAGCTTTTGATGATGCAATTGCAGAACTGGATACACTGAGTGAAGAAAGCTATAAGGACTCTACACTTATCATGCAGTTGTTACGTGATAACCTGACACTATGGACTTCAGACATGCAGGGTGATGGTAAGTAAACTTTCTGTAGTTAATTGTATCTGAGTTGCTGGATCATTTTACTCATTTTTAAAATTTCTTGTTTTTTTAACATTAAAATACAACATAAATTCAGAGCCTGTCTGCTACCAAATATCAATTACTGCCTTCATAGGAAATGGTACCAAAGAAAAGCATAGAGATAAAAGACATATTTAGAATAGGGGGATCTTATGTTAATATTTAAAGATTTTAGAGTTTTGCCTCTAATTAAAAATGTTTTGTTAAACTTAGTTTACCTCTTTCACAGTTCTTTGAAGGCTGAGGAAAAGAGGGATGGGAGAGCAAACAATTTCATCTTCTCAGATTCAGTTTGGGGAGGTAGAAGTTAATTGTATTTCAAACTTGATGATATTGGTAGCTATTTTTGATGTACCTTTGTTTGGAAATCTTTCATCTAAAAAGGGACTAATTTTCCTCCTGAAGTCTGTAGAGAAATGAAATGTTTTGTCCTTGGGTATTTATTTAAGGGGTCTGATGGAGTTATACTTGGAAAGGTTTTCAGTTCCACACAGTTACTAAGAGTGTTTTATAAAATTTAATTGCGATTGAGGGAATGTGTACAAATCTTTACTTTAAATGTGGAGATCCAAATTTGTAATGTTTATTTTGATGGCAATTAAACTCATGCTCTACCACTGTGTTACAACCCTATCCCCCTATTGAAGGTGGGTGGAGAGAGGACAGTGTGATATGACCATTATGAGATAGTTGTATGGGTTGCTGGTGATGGTGGTAAAGGATTAGAACAGAAAGTGTGTTGACAGTTTTAGCTGCAGTTTCTAAAGTATCCAAATTGAAGTATATGTTATGTTGCTTGAGGATGGCTATATCCTCTGTTGGCTAAACCCACATGCTGTGATGTCTGAAATATACTTATGTATTGGGGTATATATATATATGTTGTCAGTTTGTTTACTCTGCAAAGATTGAATTAAATTTCTGACTTAGGTTATGGTACTAACATGAGAATGAGGTGGTTTAGCTTCTAAATTCTAAAGCTCATGTGTTTATGAAGTATTCATGTGTTTGACTAGGTCTGAATTAATAAGATTTGAAATGTAACTGACTAGAACAAATTCAGAGGAAGCCAAGGGTGCTTTTCCAAACAAAACTTCAGAAAACCACTATTATTTGGAACACAAAACTAGTTTCCCATATCTAAACTACAATGACTTCAGGTTTCTTCTAGCTTTAAAATTCTATGGTTTTTTGACAATAACTGTTAGAAAGAATGGCCAGTCGCCCGCAGCTCGGTGAATTAGTATTTCGGTGCCTCTTTGAGGGAATAAAAGGGAAAGCAAAATGAAAAGGAAAGCATGTGGAGAGTTTGGTAAGCAGGAACAATTGCTGCTTTCCTTTAAGTAAACTCTACTCCTCCAACCTCGGGACATGTTTTTAAGGCTGAAAGTAACAGAGGTGACCTGTGTTGAAATGCCTTTTTAAAGACACTTGATGCCAGACCTTACAGTATCTAAGTTGCTAGATTTTCCAATTAAATATAAATTAAATTTATATTCTCTAATACACCTATAGCTCATTCTCACAGATAATTAAGAGTTGATTAGTCAAAGTAGACTATATGTCATCATTCCATTTTTATACAGAACTTAAATTGTTAGGGTAGGGTTATTGAGTATGGTTTTTTGAAGTGGACCATCTTAAAATTGGAATATCTTCTTTATACTATTTTCATGATAGGAAAGATTTTTGTACAAAGATTTCTTGTGATATTTTAGCATAGGTTTTTCTTTAATCTGAAAGTTAGTTTTAGTGTTCTCCCCTTCCTCTAAACCCCCTTGAGCCCTGTTTTCACTGTCCATGGTCCTGTTGGCATTCTGGTCTTACTGAGCTCCCACTGGAATAGCCAACTTGCACTGCTACACATTTCAAAATTTCTCCAACCAATTCCAAAAAGTTCCAGAAGTTGTGAACCCACATGGTCAGGTTTGTCAACAATAATCCCCACTGCTGGTACCAACTTCTGTTTTAGTTAGCTTTTTTTCCTCTGAGATGAAACCAGAACAACTATAGAGGAGGGAGAGTTTTATTTGGGGGCTTATGGTTTCAGACGTCTCAATCCATAGAAAGCAGACTGGGCTCAAGGTGAGGCTGAACATCATGGCAGAAGAGTATGGCAGAGGGGAAGGAGCTCATATGATGATCAGAAATCAGAGAGTGAAAGTTATTTTTAATCTGGAGAAATTTAGTTGTTTCAGTTCCTTATTCAGTCTATAATTTGAACAGTTGATCAAATTTAGTAAAAACAGTATTAGTTATTAAATTTTTTCTTTAAAAATGCTTATAGTTAAGGAGCATGATAGTATTAACAATAAAAAAAGATTGTTAATATTGTAGTAAGCTTAAATTATTAAGGGCATTAGGAAATTTTTTTTTACCACTTTTGCTTAAAAAAATAAGTATAGTACTGTATGTTCTCTTAGGTGACTTGTAATAGATTCCATACTAAATATAGAATTATTATCATGAAATTCGTGATTTTCCAGAATGTTACTTGCATTTAGTTTATAAGTATTATTTAGGTGGTTTTCTCCTTTATTTCTAGCTGTACAAAGTAGTGTCATGAAGGATTTGAATTGAGTGTTTCTAAAGGAAGAAATGTATGCAGTTTACTTACATGCTTTTATGTCTTGTTACTACAGTGTATGTTAATGTCTGTCCCAGTGTTTTGGAACATAGTTCTTTAAAGGGATCACTACCCTTGGGGTGATTTCAGTCCTTTTCTCTAAGAGGACTGTTTCATACAAAAGAATATGTGTGTGCTATCTGTTCCTCCAAAATCTAGAAGGAATAGGCACAGAAATACCTGTCACTTTTCTGTGTACTTTATAAAAGAAAATTATTTTCTTAGAAGTAAAAGGAAGGATTGGACAGATTATTTCTTAGAGGGCAGTATATACAAAGTGAAAGATCAAAATCTGACTCCCCTTGTATCATTGATGTTTTCCTTTGTCCTGCTCTCTTGGTTTATTTTTCTTGTAATGTTGCTTTCATATGATTGTCTCCCTCCCTCTCTCCTTGCAATATAGATTCCTAAAGGAAAATCCAACTCTTCCTTTCCTAAAAACTCTACTTTGTAAGTCATTATCATGGCACAGTGAATTTTGCTTTCAGTTTGGGTTCTTCACTAATCATGCCTGCATATTTATCATCTTGTTGCTTACAAACTGCCTGTTCTATATTTCAAGGCGCTAAACTTTCTAAGACGTCATCGGCCTGCTACCCCTGCCTATGTCTGGTTGGGTGTGACTTACACGATGATGTGATTTATATATGTGTAGGACTTATATGCCAAAGTTATTTGGAACTTTTGACAAATCTAATGATTGCTTATGAGTAATTAGAGTGTGTCCTAGGGTTAACTTATATTGGCAATATATTTCTGTAGAAATGAGAATAAATGTGAATGCTCCCATGATGTTTCCTGAATTTTGAACACAGGAACAATTTGTAGAATGAATCTTTGGGGGAACAGCTGGGTGTCTTTTGAGTTCTTTTTTTTTTTTCTTTGCATATTTTTTTCTGTATTACAAGTCAAAAAGTTTTGATGTTCTTGAGGTAACTTGAGAGCCACATTATCAAGCCAGATGTTTTTATCACAGGAGATTTGAAAACTACCGTTACTTAACTCATAATACTATAATAGCACTTATTGTTTATCACAGAGGTCTTTAAAAAGATTGAGATGTTTTCAGTATAAATACTTCATATTTATAGACATCCAGTATTAATTTGTCCATTCTAATTAAATAACGAGCATTATGAATGAGTAGGTTGTGATCTGAACATTTGATTGATTTAAAAAATATTAACTCTGTGTGGTGGCACACATCCCAGCTACTTGGGAAGCTGAGGTATGGATCACAAAGTTCAAAGCCAGCTGGGGCGATTTAGTGACATCCTGTCCCAAAATAAATAAAATCAAAAGGACTAAAGGATGTAATTTAATAAAATACTTGCCTAGCTTGTGCAGGGTCCTGGGTTCAATCCTAACTACTCCCAACATGACCCCACCCTCAGGTGTTTAGATTGTGTGTGTGTGTGTGTGTGTGTGTGTGTGTTTAAATTTATTTTTATGTGATACTGGGGTTCAAACTCAGCCTTGCATGTGTTAAAAGCACATGTTCTGCCTCTGAGCTCTGCCTCCTGACCTCTGGTTAATTGATTTTTTTGAAAATTTAGTTTGAAACTAGTAACTGTAGAAGTTATAAGTGATTTGTTTAAAGTACAAAAGAATGTAATTTTACCTGTTTGTTCCTTGTATTATTAAGCAAAAGCCTCTGCATGTTTCTTTATTATGCTTGATTTGTTTAATGCTTATTAATAGGAAGATGTTCCTCTAGTGAATAAGACTGGCTTTGTGTTGCATGTCATGGTGCAGTTGAACTCCTCAGGCTAATTGTCATGTTCAAAAAGAAGAGAATAGCATGAGAAAACTGGTCCAAATGCCCTTCTTTAATAACCTCAATGGTCTGGTTTACTTTGAGCATGCTGTTTCACTCTGATGTGAGGAATCTGATGATAGATTGATGTATCTGGCCAAGAGAAAAATTGTTAAGTGTTCATTTACAACAACAGAATATCCCCCGCCAAACACCATAGAACTCCTTTGGAGCATTTTATTACTCAGTTCAGTTTTTGAGACATTTCTGATAATTGAGTTTCTGGGTAAATTAGATTTTGCACCAAAAAAAAAAAAAAAAAAAGCAAAATACTCTTGGTTTAAAAGGGGTGAGGTTATTGAGAAAGAGTATTTTGACCCAAGATATACATAAAAGCTTGAAAATTATTTTAAGACTATGGTTACTTTGGCTGTGTACTTTTAAGAGCTTCTTTTAAACATAAAATCATTGATTTGTGCATCAATTTCTTTTTTATGACTATTGACTATTTCAGGACCGTGATTAGCAGCCCTTCTTAATTTAGACATCACTCAGGTATCAAGGATGATAGAAGTCCTTTGCCTGTCTGTGTTCAATACCTATGGTATCAAATATGTGTCTTTTGACTTGGAACAACAACTTTATGAATATTATAGCTTCATGAAATATTGTCTTTCTTTACAGGTGAAGAGCAGAATAAAGAAGCGCTGCAGGATGTGGAAGATGAAAATCAGTGAGACATAAAAGCCAACAAGAGAAACCATCTCTGACCACCCCACTCCTCCCTGTCCCACCCCTTGGAAGTTCCCCATTGTCACTGAGAACCACCAAATCTGACTTTTACATTTGGTCTCAGAATTTAGGTTCCTGCCCTGTTTTTTTTTTTCCCCCTCCGTATTTTTTGTTTTGTTTTGATTTTTTTTTCTTTTGGTTGTTTTTTTTTTTTTTTCCCCCTTTTTTTTAAACCGTTTCCAAAAGTTCTTAAAGGCAAGAGTGAATTTCTGTGGATTTACTGGTCCCAGCTTTTAGGTTCTTTAAGACACTAACAGGACTGCATAGAGGCTTTTTCAGCATTACTGTATTGTCTCCATGCCAGAAGTGGCAAGATCACCATTAGAAATGGAAATTATATTTGAAAGCCATTAGACTTCTAGGTGATGCATCTGAGAGAGAGATTGATCACACTTTAGAGGCATATGTGGTATCATTTTTTTTTCCTTTTTCTAATTGTTTGAATTTTATACCAATGTTTAAACTTAATTGGGTGTTAGCTTGAGGTGGTTAAAAGGTTGTTTTGGGGGAGGTTTGTTGTTATGGTTTTGCTGTAAAAAGTGTTTCAAATTGTGCTGAAATGTTGCTGAAAAGCGTGGTGCTGGTAACAGTTCAACAATCCGTGGCTGCTCATTCTTGCCTACTTTTTACTCTCCCTCTGAAGCAGGTTAGCATTGAAGGTGGTATGGAGAAGCCTGCATGCGTGTTCAATTCTTTGTTTCTTCTCCTTCCCTTTTCCCCTGCCTCCCCTACCCTCCTTCGCTCGCTCAACCTCTTTTGTTCAGTATGTGTAACTTGAAGCTAATTTGTACTACTGGATATCTGACTGGAGCCACAGATACAGAATCTGTATTGTTCTTACTGAAACACAGCATGGAATTAACATTAAACTTAAATAAAACAAACCTAAATTAAAAATGCCAAATATACTGCGCCTCCATCCTTTATACTTCTAAAATAAAATCTGTAGTTCAAACACATTGACAGTATTACATTTGCCTGAATGTGAAAAGATTTCTCCTTTTTTCTTCCATAAATTATTTATCTGTCACCCAAAGATGTATATTTTGGAAAAAGAAATACTGCCTGTAATCTGGTTGTGAAGAACACTAAATAATCTTTTAAGTCAATTGATTACATGTCCTGTCTTCCAAACCAGTTAGCAACCCAGTATGTTGATCATTAAAGTGCAACATGAATATTTAACACAAGGTGTAACTATCGGTCATTTTCTATGATGGAAGGTTGGGTTGTGTACAACCAAACAAGGTTGAATGTGTCAAAATAATTCTCATTGGGCTGACATATACTGTATACTCCTCCCTGAAAAAGTCAGTGGCAGGTGAAGAAAAAAATTCATTTTCTGTTATCCCTTACCAGAAAGACTTGTAAGTAGTTTCTTACAGAGGTAGTTTATGCATCGGTGTTTACATTGTATCGATCATTTTACATTGAGCAGTTAGATCTCTTCATTTTAACATTGATGTACACCTGAACTGTATTTTTTTTTTAATTTTTTAATATTTATTTTCGGCAGACACAACATCTTTGTATGTGGTGCTGAGGATCGAACCCGGGCCGCACGCATGCCAGGCGAGCACGCTACCGCTTGAGCCACATCCCCAGCCCACTGAACTGTATTTTTAAAGTTTACTTTTGGACAAGTTATTTCTAACTTTGCTATTATGAAAGGTACTGCAGTAAATACCCTTGGAATAGTTTCTGCTTGAGTATTTGCATCTGTAAGATGCATTTCTAGCTTTCCTGTGTCCTAGAAAACATTTTTTATTTGGTACATGTTTTCTTAACCACATTTGACTTTTTTTCCTAAAATGACACGTTGACATAAGTATACTCCAGGCCTCAATTCTTAGTAGCAAGGATTTAGGATAGTAAAAAGATGGGTAACATTCTAGTAGTTTTTATCTTAATCATCTGCCAGCAGTTAGAAAATATCATTTTATGAATTGCTTTTCTCATCAAATGGTATACAAATCATTCTCTACTACCCATTTAGAGCAGCCTGGGAGGTTTTCAGTTTGATTTGTTCTGTTACCAACACAAGATGGCCAGATACCGTTGCATTGAAGGCCAAAATAGGAATTCATAAAATTCTGTTGCAAGTTCTTAAAACCATCCATAGCATGCAGGTTTTGTAGACTGTCTCCACACTGAAACTAATGCCTGATTCATGGACATAAAGGGACCAAGTAAACAGAATTAGTGATTTTAATTTTTGTTTTTAACAGAAGAGTCTCTTATGTACTCATATGTCGGGTTGGCCTGTCAAGTGAGTTTGCTTTGTGAAAGGATTAATTTAGTTGGCTGTGTAGCCTTTATGTAGTCAGCAAACTGAGGAATCCTCTAGCATTTTTAAGAGGTGGCAATTTTAGTTAAGGAGAAAGAAATCAATAAAGGTAATAATGCATGGAAGAGGAGGTAGATACAGGGTTGTTTTTTTTGTTTGTTTTATTTATTTTTGTGTAGGGTCTCACTGTGTTATCCAGGGTGGTTTAGAACTCAAAACTCAAGTAAGCCTTTTGAGTAGCTGGGACCACAGGTGTGATCTACCATACCCAGCAGGTGTTTAGATCCCTATCAAAATTGTAAGGTAGGCAACCAGGGAAGACTGCAGAAAGTGCCTAGTCCCTTCCATGACCTAGAATTGTGGGCCGGAAAGTTTGGGAGTTTCCCCTTGAAGTTTCAGTGCTTGATTTAGTCATCTTTCAGGATCATTTAAGTAAAAACTTTACCGTCATAACTTGAATGCAACTAATTTGTGTTAATTACAGGTCCTGTGGTATTTTGTCTTAAAATGAAGTTTTAACCCCGAAATTTTCTAAAATAGTAGGTGTGCTAATAAATGAGTGATACCCTTGCTTGTGTTGTGAAATGTGTGGCTTGGAAAGCAGATTTCTAGTGTTATATTTTGTTGCTTATAGGAAGATGAGAAAGAACTTTGAGGGGTTTTGTTTGTTTTTTGGTACTGTGATTGAACCCAGGGGTGCTGAACCACTGAGCCACATCCCTAACTGCTTTTTATGTTTTATTAGAGACAGTTTCACTGAGTTGCATAGTGCCTTGCTAAGTTGCCTAGGTTGGCTTTGAACTGGAGATCCTCCTACCTTATCCTCCTGAGCCTCTGGGATTGTTTGTATCTTTTTTCCCCCCAAGAATTCAGCCTTTCTTTCTTTCTTTATTGTGTGTGTGTGTGTGTGTGTGTGTGTGTGTGTGTGTGGCTGAAGATTAACCCAAGTGCCACATATGTGGTAGGCAAGTGCTCTACCACTGACTTACAGGCCCAGCCCTCCTCTCTTGTTTGAGACAGGGGTCTCAGTTGCTTAGGGCCTCCCTAAATTGCTGAGGCTCACCTTGAACTTGGGATCCTCCTGGCTCAGCCTCCCAAACTGCTGGGATTATAGGCAACTGCTGAGTTGAATGGGGAAATTTGTGGAATAAGTCAACAATTTAACTTGATTTCCACAGACATGCCAACCTTGTTATAAGATCCTTAGAGTTATAAGTTCTTAAGTTAGCTGTTCTGATTCTAGGATAGTAGACAAGCATACTGAAGATTTGGGATGAAGAAGACCCCTTTTGTTTTGAAAACTAATAACTGTTAGGTTGTTAAAGGGATCCTATACAAGCACCTTTAGAAAAGTGATCCCCAGTTCTAACCTGAATCAGGAAATCAAATCCGATCTTTTCTAAAATTTCATTGAGTTTTACTAGGCTCGTAATTGATACAACTAATACTTTGACATTGAATGTCAGCTGTGTACCAGGTAGGAATCTAGCACATAGCACAGAAATAATCAGATGAGGGGCTGCAGTTGTGGCTAAATGGTAGAGTGCTTACCTAGCATGTGTGAGGCACTGGGTTCAGTCCTCAGCACCACATAAAAATAAAGGTATTGTGACCATCTGCAACCCCCCCCCCCAAAAAAAAAAAAAAAAAAGATGTTGCCTCTGGTTTGCAGATAGGAAAGCTGAATAGGAGAAAAAAACTTGCCCAAAGCAATGGAGATAACGATTCAGTTTTTGTATGACTAATGACTAAAGAGCCTGTGTTCAACCATTGAGCCATTTGGTTATTTAGATACAGCGTCTCGGTTCCTTGCTAAGTTGCTGAGGCTGGCTTTGAACTTGTGATCCTCCTGCCTCAGCCTACCACCATACCTCTCCTGAGCTTTTCTTTATCAAAATTCTGTTTTGTTGAAACATTTTAGTCTAGTCTTTTATCAAAACTCAGTGTTTTGTTGAAACATTTAAATCTAGAGTGATCATTAAAATATTTTAACATTTCTGAAACATTGTAATGTGTATATTAAGTGGCCTATACATCAGAATTGGGGAAATAAAACAAATTTATTTAGGACTCTTTAAAAAAATATTTTTAAGTTGCAAATGGACACAATACCTTTATTTTTATGTGGTGCTGAGGATCGAACTCACTGCTTCACACATGCTAGGGAAGCGCTGTACCAGCGAGCTACAACCCCAGCCCTATTTAGGACTTAAGGTGGCTCCTAAAAAAAAAAAAAAGGAAAATTTTTTATTAATTTAAGATTGTTTTTAGCCAATTTTTAGTCTAGCTTATTGTGGGAAATTTTTTTTTGTTCTGATACTAGAAGTTGAACCCTGGGGCATGTTTCTACTGTGCTACATTCTTAGCTGTTTTTATTTATTTTTAAAATTTATATTTATTGGTACCAGGAATTGAACCCAGGGCACTTAACCATTGAGCCACATCCCCAGCCCTTTTAGAGATAGGGTCTTGCTGAGTTGCTTAGCACCTCGCTTTTTAAAAAATATATATTTTTATTAGTTGTTGATGGACCTTTATTTCATTTACTTATTTATATGTGGTGCTGAGAATCGAACCCAGTGCCTCACACATACTAGGCAAGTGCTCTACCACTGAGCCACAACCCCAGCCCAGGACCTCGCTTTTTGCTGAGGCTGACATCAAACTTGGGATCCTCCTGCCTCAGCCTTACCAAAACGCACATGCCACCATGCCTGCATTAACTTGGAAATTTTTAAACGCATGATTTTGGTGGTGTTTTAAAAATTTTTTAATAGCACATGGAGCAGTTCTTCCAATTTCAAATAATTTAGTTTGACCCAATAGAACCACAGTCCATAGAAATAACTAGTGATGACAGGTTGTCAAGTAATCTCAGTGCTGTGTCAGTTTTCTTACAGTGTCTTCAAGGTCAAACTCTTGGAGTCGTTTTTGGTGACTAAAATGTAATACATTTTACTAAAGTGTTCCTAGGTTGGCACATGAATGAGCTCATTGCTAGGTGCAGGTATAGGCCTGCTATATGTAAAAAGAAGCAAATTTTTCTTTATAAAGATTCCTTGTTTATTTTTGTGTATGTTTTTTATTTTTTGTGTTTTTTTTTGGGGGGGGGCATGTGTGTGTGTGTGTGTGTACCAGGGATTGAACCCAGTGGCACTAAACCACTGATCCACACCCCTAGCCCATTTAGTATTTTATTTAGAGACAGAGCCCAGCTAAAAATTCCTTGCTTTTGGACATTTCTCACAACTGAAGTTAGGAGTGTGTCATTTTACAACAAGGCAATATGAATCATGTCCAGCAATTTTCTTCCCCTGTCCAAAGCTGTCATTTACAATTTTCCAGTTGTGCTATAGTTTGTGGCACTCCCTTGGCACTCATGCTTCTGTCCCATATTACTTGTTTCTGATCTTTATATATATATATAAAAGTGTGGGGGGGCACTGGGAATATAGTTTAGTGGTTAAGTACCCCTGGGTTCAATCCCCCAGTTCAAAAAATTTGGACGCTATTAAGTTTGGGATAAGTCTGGTTTTGTGACTAAATTATCTTTCCCATTATTGGCACATCTGTAGCCATGATCACAGGTTACAATAAATACCATAGTCCCTTAGAATTTAATTTTGAGATTATTATTATTTTTTTAAATTTATTTTTATAGTTGTAGTTGGA